CACACACAATGCACCTGTCAATCCCCCAGGTGGATGGAGGCAACAAGATGCAAGCTGTAGGGGGGCGGGGCACCAGATCTGGATCCACACCACCAAAGGGCAGGGGGGGGTGAGGGGTGGGGGCTGCCCTGACTCTCCTTACCCTGGCCTCAGGCTGGCCTGGGGGAACTGGGAGCCCCGCCTACCCCACAGACCTCCTTGTAGCCAGAACTGGACTGGGGGAGGGGCCAGGTGAATCTAGGCTCTGGAGGGGGTGGCTGGTGTTTAGCTCTTTGGCGAGTGGGGAGGGTGGGGGTTGGCTTCTGGGTTGTGGGATGTTAAGGCCCGAGGGGTTAAACCCAGCAGGTGTGTGGGGGTGGAATGGGGGGAGCCAAGCTTGGGAGTGTTTCCTGGGACAGGCTAGTATGAGGCCCCTAGCACTGGACTTCTCTCTTCCCCCAGTCCAGTGAGACCCCTATGTCAGCCTGGGCACAGGCATCCAGAGAGAGGGGCCAGCCCAAGCCAGGGTACACAGAGAGCAAGCCAGGCCCGTGGGTGCTGGGAGGGCACAGTGCAGTCCCAGGAGCTGGCAACATTCGTTCATTCATTCAAGAAAGCTGTTCTGAGTCTCCAGAAAACAAAACTGACTGCACTTTCTGAAAGATTTCTTTCTCCCTACCTTCCTCCACCCTGGTTTGCCCCATCTTACCCTACCCGCTGAGATTCAACCACCAAATCCCAAGGGCTAAGAGGCTGGGGGTCAGGGCAAGAGACGGGCTATGAGACTGAGTGGGGATGGAGGGGTTCTGCCCCCCTCCCTGGTCCCTCCGCCACCCTCCTCAGGTCGTGTCTGGCCCAGCCACAGTGACATTCATCCTTCGGTGGGTCTGGCCTCGCTCTTCACAACCCACCGACAACAATGAATGTTGATTGTGACTTTTGCGGTGGCCCAGGGGGCTATGTGTTCTCTTTGGGAGTCCACAGGCAGAGCCCCAGACCCTGCCCCACCCAATCTCAAGGTGCAGGAGTGGGGGCGGGCGTGGCGCACAACAGGTAGATGGCAGTTCCAGGCCTCGGGGTCCACTCAACGGTCGATGGTTTGCCTGTGTTGCCCAAACTCACCGACAGGTTGAATGTTCCCCCAAACCCTTGGTTGGCTTCTCCGGGGACCAGGTGGTGGTAGGGGTGATGGGCAGGGAAACAGAAGGGAGAGAGCCAGGGTCCGGCTGACTATCATTAACAGGGCCAGCAGTTACTGCCTGCCAAGTGTCTGCTCCAAACCTGGGGGACACACGGGTTGGAAAATGGCAAAAAGCCCCAGACAACAAAAATCCCACTGCCCTCCAGTCCGTTGTCCCATAGGGTTTCCAAGAGTGCCGTCTTTCCAAAAGCTGCCTGCCACATTCTCCCACGGAGCAGCTAGGGGTTTCAAACCGCTGACCTTTCAGTTAGCAACCAAGTGCTAACCCAGCGGTTCTCAACCTTCCTAGTGCTGCGACCCTTAAATCTGGTTCCTCATGTGGTGGTGACCCCCCAACCATAACATTTTCATTGCTACTTCATCACTCATTTTGCTACTGTTGTGAGTTGGGTGACCCCTGTGAAAGGATTGTTCGACCCCCGGCCCACGGGTTAAGAACTGCTGGCTTAACCACTGCGCCACATGTGCTGCTAGGTAGCAACAGCAAACCGTGTTATGTAGGTGGCCCTGGTCCACAGTGCCCGTAGCTAAATCCCTCAACACAGCCCAGGAAATGGAGTGACGATCCCATCAGGCAAGGGCAACAGATCTAAAGGCCTGGCCAAAGAGACAGACAGACAAGGAATTATGTGGGACCACAGCCCACTCCCCTCCCCAAGAGGATCTAGTCAGAGGACCATAAACAAGTCATTTTAATACAATGTAACACCTTTGTCTCTCAGTGTTTCCAGCACACTGATGAATAGGAGGAATTAGCCTCAGGCCACCCCACCCCCAATTTTACCTGGGAGAAGGCAGCCCACCCCCTCCAGCTGGCCAGCAGGATTTGGGGTGCACACTTTGGCACTCAGGCCCTTGAGGAGTGCTGCCCTCCATAATGTAGGGGTGTAGGACCCCACTCTAGGGCCTTGAAATAGGCTGGAACCAGTCTGTCCTCAGACAGACTACAGTTGCATGCTGCTGGCCTTTTCTCCTCCCTACAAAGCCCCCCAGGCCCTCCCTCCAGCAGCTGTGCAGAGCGTGTGCCCCGCCCCTAAGGTTTCCCTGAACTGGGGATCAGGCTCCAGTGTAAACTCCATCCCCCACCTAGTGGAATTGCAAGCAAGTATCCCACAGGAAGAAAGCTAAAGGTCATTACAAAGAAAGAAAGAAAAGACCAAAGTGGAAACTGGAAGAGCGTCTTGAATGCGGGCGGCTAAGGAGACAGGAAGCAAGGATGAAGTCAAAGAGCTTCAGATTTTCAAGGGCGGCTCCCGAGGACCAAGCGAAGCATTTGTACGAACTGTGGAAAGGCTCCGAGGTGCAAAACTAAAAGGGAAGAACACACTCTGCGTGTTTCGAGCCGAAAGGATTGAAGGAAAGAATTCAAGCCCCCACGCTGTAATATTGACGGATTCTAGAGGCAAACTAGAATCCTATGTGAGGGAAGCAAACGGTCAAGAAAAAGACAGGAAAGAAAATACCAAAATGGACGTTGAAAGAGACTCTTAAACTTGAAGGAAGAAAAAGCTAAACCGACACGGGAAAAAAATGCTGCTGTAAAAGAGTTGAACACAACACCCTCAAGATGGCTTTAAATGACTCCCATATGTTCTGGTCCTTCCCCAAGCAGAACCCCAAGTGTGCAGGGCTGGCGTGAGCCTCATACAGCACACTAGCATAAACCGCAGGCAGGCCCTGCCTGCAAGACCCCCCCACCCCATCCAAAATTCACCCTCGTGAAAACTAGCAAAAACCTACCCCCTAAGCCCACCTACCTATTATCTGCCCCTAGGGCCCTCCCCCTAAAGCCCACCCCACCCCCTCCAGCAGGCCAGCATCTAGTATCCCTTAGGGCTCACCCAATATCAATGCCTTCCCAGCTCCATGGGCCAGCCCACAAGCCCACGGCTTAAGGCACCCCACCAATTATTTGTTCAGGAATAGCCCCCAACCCTTACGGCCCTACCCGAAGAAGCCCACTCACCTAGAACCTAAAATAGGCCTCGGATTCCCTCTCCCAGCCTGTCCTTGGGGGCCCAGACCCTACCCCCCACCTCCTGCCCCAAAGCTGCCCCCACAACTGACCTAGCTAAGTTCCCCCCAGGCCAAGCCCCGGAGAACCTGTCCCTCGAGGTTCTAACCTCGCAGACCCCCTTCCTTACAGCCCCTTTCTGTCGAGTTCAGGGTAGGCACCCTCTCCTGCATCCATTCACCCTAGCCAGCAGTATGGTCCGGTGGTGACCCGGATTGCTCCACTCCCCACAGCCCCCGATCAGACCCGACCACAAGGTATTCAGGCCCTTGAGCCTTGGTCTCCCCTGAGAAGTGGAAGCTTTGAGGACTGGGTGCTAAGGAGGTGAATGCCTAAAGGGGTTGGGGGAAGACAGATTGGAAAAGCAAGTTATTAGGATCCGAATAATGCAGCCTTCCAGGCACGGCCCCGTGAACAGGAGACCCATTTGACAGACAGGGATGGTGAGCCTCAGAGTTGGGACCGAACGGGGCGCAGTAGGGGTTCCCCAAGTGAGAGGTTCCCCAAGTTAGATGCGCGGGTTAGCGGATGGGCAGCCCTGGAGGGGGCGGGGCGCTCCCAAGTCACTTCTGTGCTTGCTTCCCTCGTTGGGCTGAGACCTGCAAGAGTCTCCCCAAGACTGGGAAAGGCCCCTCGGAGGGGCGTCTCACCCTGCGCTCTGGAAGGCCGCGGCGGGGCATGAGGGCGGGCCTGCCAGCCAAGGGGGTGGGCGGAGCCGCAGCCCCGTCTGGCCCGCGGGCGGGGGCTGTCTGGGCCCGCGGGTCCGCCTGTCTCCCTTTGTTTGCCCCTGGTTGGTCGCAGCCGCTTTCCCTCCCCTCGGCGCCTGTCTGGGTCCGCCTGCCTCTTTGTTAGCCCGGGTCGCCTGTCTGGGTCTGGCTGTGTGTGTCTGTCTCCCGCTGTCGGGGTCTGCCTGTGAGGGGTTGGCCCTTTCCACCCAGCTTCTCCAGGGGTCCGAGCAGAGCCTGGGTGTCGGCCGCCCCCACTCCTGCTTCTGATGGGCCGGCCTGACACCCTCCCGCCACGTGTCCTGAAGCTCTTTGGGGACTGGGGACGTCTGGTCCTCCAGTCCCGGCTCTGACCCTCTGAGCCTGACACTGGTCCGCCTTTGAAGGCCCAGCAAGGCGGAGTGTGGGAGGGCAGCACCGCTGCCCCTCTCAGCCCGCCCTGCCCACAGCTGGCCATTCTCGCCTGATGCAGCCGCTTCCTCCTTGGCCCTTGGTTGAGACACCCCACCCCCAACTAGGAGGGTCTGTCTGGGTCAGGGGCCTGAGTAGGGTGGGGGTGGGGGTACCAGCTCCAGAAACCTCACTGCCCCCTCCTTGGGTCCTGGAAGGCAGGACAGCTGTTGGGTCTGGGGGCCAGGGTCAGAGGTGAGGGGTCCCAGCAGTGCCAGATGGGCAGGCGCTGGACCGAGGCAATTGTGTGCTGTGTCAAGTTGAAGCACAAGGAAGGGGTGAGGAAGGTGCCAAGCAGGAGTGTCCTAAGGCGTGTGTGTGTCCCTAACCCAGCACTCCTCTGTGTGTACGTCCGTGTGTGTGTGTGTGTGTGTGTGTGTGTCCCTGTGCCCTGGTCTCTGTGTAAGTCCCCAGGCCCGTGTCCCTCTCTCTCTCTCTGTATATGT